GTTCTTCACTGTGTGTGTATGTGTTTCAATTTTTCAATGTGTGTATTGGACCCCAATCAAGTGTGTGTATCAAATCGAGCAAGTTTGTTGGCAGTTACAGAGGAAGCATCATGAATGGAGATACCCATTTTTGATCAATTTTGCTGATACATACTTGCAGCTATAATTTTGATTTGGGTGTTTTTCAATCGAAAACACTTCCTATCACCCTCATAGATTCACCGCTCCACCCCAACTGTCTTTTCATTTACATTATGATTTCATTTTGAAAATATAGTTTTCTCTAGGTTATTAAAGATTGGTTGAGCATTGAAGATAAGAGAAATGAGAATCCATGGTTGCAGCAGGTGGGTATGAGAGAGAGAGAGAGAGAGAGAGAGAGAGAGAGAGACCCTTTATTAAATAATTATATTTTTTTAAATAACAAAAAACTTCATAAATGGTCCCTCTTTTGTGAAATGACGGAAATACCCTTCACTTAACGGCCAAAAGCTAACGGACTTAGCGAAAAGGACCATTTGTTAAAAGTTTTGAAACCACAGGGACCATCTGTGAGGTTTTTTGAACTTAGGGACTAAACTTGATATTTTTGAAAACCACAGGGACCATTTTTGAAGTTTTGTCTAAATATTAAGATGAGTAATTAAATATCTTTTTATTTTTTGTTCATACAAATCTTCTTGTCCATTTAAATGATGAAATTTATCACATTAATATATTAAAATATTATTAAAATTTCTAAAAAATGTTACACATGTCATCATTTAATTTTATAGGACGATTTATAATAACAAAAAAATATGAAGATATTTAATTTATAATAACAAAAAATAGGAGGATATTTAATTTCTAAAAATAATATAATATACATATTTATTTTAGGAAAGAATTAGATATCTCGTAGGGGCGGTTATTTTTATTACCCCTATATATATAATTGCGCCCTTTTTTTTTTTTCAAAATTAGCAGAAACTACAAATCTCCTCCTCTCTTCAATCTTCTTCACTAAGAATAACCCTAAAAAAATTATCTACTCTCTGTTCCTTTGGGTCGAGTCTGGTGATTTGCGGACCTATTTCCTTCAGTTTGATCAAATGGCAGAGAGAAAGGTGTTGAATAAGTACTATCCCCCGGATTTTGATCCTGCGAAAATTCCAAGAATGCCCAAAAATCAACAAATGAAGGTCAGAATGATGCTTCCGATGAGCATTCGCTGCACACTTGCGGCAACTATATTTACAGAGGCACAAAGTTCAATTCACCCAAGGAAGAGGTGATTGGAGAAACGTATCTTGGGATTAAGATATTCAGGTTTTATTTCAAATGCACCCAATGTGCAGCCGAGATTACCATTAAAACAGACTCACAAAACTCCGATTATGTTGTTGAGTCTGGTGCCACAAGGAATTATGAGCATTGGCGTGCAGAGGATGAGGTAAAGGAGGAGCAACGGAGAAGAGATGCTAAAGAGATCGGAGATCCCATGAAGTCCTCGGAGAATAGAAGAATTGATTCAAACAGACATATGAAAATACTTTCTGCTCTGGATGAAATCAAGTCTATGAATTCCAGACATGCAAATCTAACCCTAGATGCAATTCTTGAAGCCTTGCAGCGATCATCTCCATTACAGCAGGAGGACAAGCTTCAAGAAGAGGATCAAACCCTTATAAAATCCATCTTCCATGGATCAAGAAAGTTTAAGAAGAGGAGGGTTTCTGAGAGCCTAACAAATTACTTGACAAAAACCAGTATTGATCATGACACATTGAATAAAAGAGAAGATCGAAGGGGTTTGAGAAGTTTTGTTTTCAAGTCTTCAGCAGTGAAGTTTTCTGTTGTGAAGAAGCCATTAGAGGCTGGAAGTGCAAAAACACAAGCAAATGAAAAGGAGCAAGAAGATGATAAAGCCAAAAATACAAGTAATGCATTGGGATCATTATGCCAACAGTATGACAATGATGATGATGAAGAGTAATCTTTATGCCAAACATCACGAGTAGAAACACATGCAAGTAAAAGTGTAAGCATCATTAATACTCAATTGGAAGTCAATTTCGAATTGTAAATATGCTCTGATACCAATTTATGCATGTTTACTTGTTAACGGATTTGGTTTATTAGTACCATTTTATTTTATTTTTTGTAGGTTTATTGCTTTTCTACTTCAAGATCTTTTTTCCTGGAAAGCTAATTGATCTCATAGCTACTACTTAAAGCTTAAAACTCAATTTTTTCTTTTACATGTCATTATCCTTGAGTTTCGTTAGCTATGTAATAGTTTTGCTGTTAGAGGAAATCTATAAAATGGGCTTGTAATGGGTCAAGCATTTGTGGATTAAATAGTTAGGTTGCCCATATTTCAAAAATCTCAATGTATTTTAGATGAAATTCTTGGCTTGATTTGGGTTAGAATTTTATTTGCATTAGGCAGCTACACAAAATGGTAGTGATGGAGGCAAACATACCCCAAGTCGGAGACATCAATGTTGGGGAAGGACACACAAAGGATCAGGAAATCCTGTTGGAATTCTACTATGTGTGTATTTGTTTTGGGTAAGACAGAATTCTTTTAGGTTTCAGCTATTGTGTGTGTGTTTTGTTTTTAATGCGTGTATAAGAGCGACTATGGTGGAAAGTGGAGGATTGTGGCGATGGAAGGTGGTGATTAAGGGGATAGGAGAAGGGATATGAAAGGGTGGGTGGTTATGGTGGCCCTATAATTTAATATTAACATAAATTGTAATTAAACATTAAAAAAGATAAAGATAATAAATAGTAGTATAAAAGATAATATTAGTTTTTGGTTTTGTGGTTATCTTGGCACCTTGCTTAGTTTGCCGGTTCAAAATAAATAAATAAAATAGTATAAAAATAATTTTTAATAGTCAGCAACCAACCAATGAATAGAAACAATAAGGATCATCAAGAAAAAAAAAAGTTTAGGACTAAACTTATGATGTTCTGTAAACTACAATATTAATGTAATTTATTTTTGGTGATAAAATTAAGAGCAAATTACACTTTTGGCCCTGAGGTACACACATTTTTTTATGTTTGGTCCTGTTTTTAGAAAATTGATGTCGTTGATCTTCATGGTAGCAAAACCCATAATATTTTGTCCTTCCTTTTCTTAGGGCGTGTTCGGCACGGAGCGTTTGACTAAACGCTCCATTTTGAACAGAAAGTCTCGTTCGACACTACAAGCTTCTAGCGTTTAGTTTAAACAAAATGCTTCAAATCCAAATGTTACTTCATGTAGCGTTTAACAAAACGCTACAAGCTACAAGCTACCCGCTACCCTTTACAAGCTACCCGCTACCAGCTAATTTTGCCGAACACGCCCTTAGTGACCATCTAACCCCCTCCATTAAATGATTGTAAAAAGACAAAATTACCTATGTTTGTCATTTTTTTGCTCTTTTTCCCCCTAATTTATTGCATATTATGAAAAATAAAGACCAAATCTATAAATACTCTAAAAACTTCTTTAATAGCCAATACCACATCAAGTCTTCTTCTTCCACCTTTGTCTTCACTCGCCACAGTCGACCACGTCCTCCCTTTACCATCTTCGGCGACCACCTCCTCTAAACCAAATCACCTCCCTCATTTTCCTACCACCACTACACCACCACCCCTCTCACTCAAAAGTAAGAACCTACCACCGAACACTATCTCTCCCTCTTTTTCTTGATCACAAATTTTGATGAAATTTCTCTCTCTCTCTCTCTCCCTCCCTCTCTCTCTCTCTCTCTCCTACAAACAATGACGATTCTCTCCCCCATTTCTCTATGTCACTTACAAATGGCGATAATCCTCTCTCTCTCTCTCTCTCTCTCTCTCGACGATTTGTAAACCATAAGGACAATTTATGTAATTGTCTTAATTTTATTTTTGTGATAAAATGAAGATCAAATTATAGTTTTGGACCTTGAAATATGTACAGTCTTCATGTTTCGTCTTACTTTTGGAAAATTGTGTTTTTGACCCTCATGGTTGCAAAATCCATCACATTTGGTCTTTTTTCGATCACCATCTTAACCCCTTCCGTTAAATGAATGTAAAATGAAAAAATTACACATGTTTTATTAGTTTCTAGTTTTTTTCCCCTAATTTATTACATATTCGAAAACATAGGAACCAATTCTACAAATACTCTAAAAGCTTATTTTTAAGAGTTAAATAACCACATCAAGTCTTCATTTTTCACCTCCACCTTCACTCGCCACAGTGGACTAGGTCCTCCGATCACCATCTTCGACGATCACCTGCTCTAAACCATACCGCTTCCCTCATTCTCCCACCGCTATAAACCTCTTCCCCTCTCACTCAAAAGTAGGAACCTACCACTGACCGCTATCTCCCCTTAATTTTCCAGATCACCATTTTCAACGACAATTCTCTGCCCTTTCTCTTTGTTACCTACAAACAATGATGATTCACTCAGTCACCAAAAAACAATGACGATTTTGTCTCATCTCTATCAACCACCTATTTGTTGGAGATAGTGTCTAAGTCCATAACTATATTTGGTATGTACTTGACCCGACCCGGCAT